CCGCCCGAGACTTCCTCGCATTTTATTCAGGAATCGCGCCCTCGCTGGGGAATTCCTTACAATTTAATCGCTTCGCTCATTCCGCCGGCCCTGGAACCCTCTTTAGGGCCTCTTGGGGGCCTCTTGGGGACCTCTTGGGAATCTCTTGGGGCTCCTTGGCGGCGTTTTGGGGCCCCCCAGGGCCTCTTAGGGGGCTCTTGGGGGCCTCTTGGGGCGGGAGGGGGGGTAGTCGATTGCGGCTCCCGCTTGGGACTTCCTTACAATTTATTCAGGAATCGCTCTCCCGGCGCTCTGGAGTCGCGCTCTCGCTGGAGACTTGCTTGCAAGTTACTGAAGAATAGCGCCCTTGCGTTGGAATTTCTTGCAATTTACTTTAGCGCCGCGCTCCAGACACCCAGGCACCCAGGAGTCCCGCTCGCGTTTAGGACTCCCTCAAAGATTACCTAGGAATCGGGATCTCGCTGCCCTTCGTGGCCCCGTTGCAGCCCGTCGTGGCCCCCTCGCTTTGTTTCGTGGCCCCGTTGCAGCCCTTCGTGGCCCCCTCGCTGCCCTTCGTGGCCCCGTTGCAGCCCCATCGTGGCCTCCTCGCTGCCTTTCGTGGCCCCGTTGCAGCCTTTCGTGGCCCCCTCGCTTTGTTTCGTGGCCCCGTTGCAGCCCTTCGTGGCTCCCTCGCTGCCCTTCGTGGCCCCGTCGCAGCCCTTCGTGGCTCCCTTTGCAGCCCTTCGTGGCCCCCTCGCTGCCCTTCGTGGCCCCGTTGCAGCCCCTCGTGGCCTCCTCGCTGCCCTTCGTGGCCCCATATTGGTATGCCCTTCGTGGCCCCCGCTCGTTCGCGCCCGTGGTGGCCCCATATGCATGCCCTTCGTGGCCCCGCTGTCGCCCTTCGTGGCCCCCTCGCTGCCCTTCGTGACCCCGTTGCTGCCCTCAGTGGCCCCGTCCTTGCCCTCTGCGGCCCAGTGTGCGTATGCCCTTCGTTACCCCCGCTCGTTCGCGCCCGTTGTGGCCCCATGTGCATGCCCTTCGTGGCCCCGCTGTCGCCGTTTGTGCCCCCTCACTGTCCTACGTGGCCCAGTTGCTGCCCTCAGTGGCCCCATCGTTGCCTTCTGTGGCCTCGCATTATCTGCCCTTCGCGGTCCCCGCTCGTTCGCGCTCTTCGTGGCCCCATACGCATTCCCTTCGTGTGTCCGCTGTCGCCCTTCGTGGCCTACTTCGTGTCCTCGTGACCCTGCTGCCGGTCTCTCTCGCTCTTGCTTTCGCTCGTCGTCGTCGTCGTCGCCGTCGTCGTCGTCGTCGTCGTCGTCGTCGTCGTCGTCGTCGTCGTCGACGTCGTCGTCGTCGTCGTCGTGGTCGGTCCCCTGTCCGTCCCTCTTGGGGTCGGGTCGACGGTCCGCGGCCGCCCCGCCGATCAGCGCTACCGCTGGCCAGGCCGACGGTCCACGGCCGCCCCGCCGCTTGCCGGGGCCCGGCCTGCAGGGAAGAAAGGTATCCCCCCCAAAAGGGGTTCGATCGAAGACGAAGAGGGCGGGTATCGAGGGTTTGGGAAATACGCGTTAGTAGACACTCGAGCAGAGGGGTGAATAGTCTTAAAATGATTGTTGTCGTTGTTGGTGGTGTTGGTGTTGGTGTTGGTGTTGTTGTTGGTGTTGGTGTTGGTGTTATTGTTGTTGTTCTTCTTGTTGTCGTTGTTGTTGTTGTTTTTGTTGTTGCTGCTGCTGTGATTGTGGTTGTTGTTGTTGCCGTTGTCGCTGTCGGTATTGTTGTTGTTGTTGCTGTTGTTGTGGTTGTTGTTGTTGCTGCTGCTGCTGTGATTGTTGTCGTTGTTGTCGTTGTTGTCGTTGTTGTTGTTGTAGTTGCTGTCGTTGTTGTTATTGTTGTTGTTGTCGTTGTTGTTGTTGCTGTTGTTGTTGTTGTCGTTGTCGTTGTTGTCGTTGTCGTTGTCGTTGTCGTTGTCGTTGTCGTTGTTGTTGTTGTTGTTGTTGTTGCTGCTGTTGTTGTTGTTGTTGATGTTGTTGTTGTTGTTGTTGTTGTTGTTGTTGTTGTTGTTGTTGTTGTTGTTGTTGTTGTTGTTGTTGTTGTTGAATTTTCATGTCTGAAGAATAATTATGGTTGATTCCCCCCACCAGTGCATACTGTTTTTTTCTCAATCGAAGTGTTCCCCTCGACGCTCGCACCTTGTTTATTTTTATCAGGGAAAGTCTTGAGGCTCAAACTGGGCCCCTGGCCCCCAGGTTACAACAACAACGGCTCCCGTTTGAGATTTCCTCACGATTTAGCCAGGACCCCAGCTCCCGCCCGAGACTTCCTCGCATTTTGTTCAGGTCTCGCGCTCTCGCTTGGGACTTCCTTGCAATTTATGCAGGAATCGCTCTCCCGGCGCTCTGGAGTCGCGCTCTCGCTGGAGACTTGCTTGCAAGTTACCGAAGAAAAGCGCCCTTGCGTTGGAATTTCCTACAGTTTGCTCAAGCGCCGCGCTCCCGACACCCAGGCACCCAGGAGTCGCGCTCACGCTTAGGACTCCCTCAAAGATTACCTAGGAATCGGGATCTCGCTGCTCTTGGAGGCCCCGTTGCAGCCCGTCGTGGCCCCCTCGCTTTGTTTCGTGGCCCCGTTGCAGCCCTTCGTGGCCCCCTCGCTGCCCTTCGTGGCCCCGTCGTAGCCGTTCGTGGCCCGTTGCAGCCCTTCGTGGCCCCGTTGCATCCCTTCGTGGCTCCCTCGCTGCCCTTCGTGGCCCCATATATGTATGCCCTTCGTGACCCCCGCTCGTTCGCGCCCGTGGTGGCCCCATATGCATGCCCTTCGTGGTCCCGCTGTCGCCCTTCGTGGCCCCCTCGCTGCCCTTCGTGGCCCCGTTGCTGCCCTCAGTGGCCCCGTCCTTGCCCTCCGCGGCCCAGTATACGTATGCCGTTCGTGGCCCCCGCTCGTTCGCGCCCTTTGTGGCCCCATGTGCATGCCCTTCGTGGCCCCGCTGTCGCCGTTTGTGCCCTCCTCACTGTCCTACGTGGCCCAGTTGCTGCCCTCAGTGGCCCCATCGTTGCCTTCTGTGGCCCCGCATTATCTGCCCTTCGTGGCCCCCGCTCTTTCGCGGTCTTCGTAGCCCCATACGCATTCCCTTC